TGCCAAACATCGGGTTGGAAAAGAAAGAAAGAAAAACACTCAACCTATCCGCCCGACCATCGAGCTCTGAGTCAGCACCTGAATCCAGCGGCGGAGCCACATTGAAGAAAGGGGTGTCAAGCGACAGTACCCCTTCGCCGGAAAATTATACTATTTTGCTAGATAATTTTTTTATTTATTTTATGTATATTTACTATACGCTGACTCCCATTAACTTTTCGATGTATCTAATTATTTATGTTTTGACACTCCTTAATAACAATTCTGGATCCGTCACTGCCTGAATCTGTTCACATATAAGTGAAAGAGCCAGTTCACTGGCTCAATATATGATAACCAAATCCATTATTGAACTTGACAAGGAAGTTAGAAAACATGCCATGTAACTGCAATATGTCTTTCAAACCATCAGTACAATAAACATATTAAACTTCATATACCAAAATTGTGAACAACATTATATAGTTTATTCAAGCCCTTAGGTTCATAATTAACATTAATTCCTTGTATATCTTATGTCATATTCTTCATATTTAACTTTTCTTATGCAAGTATATATAAACATCTAATAACTACAGTAGATGTTAAAGCTCTATGATTTAGAGGTTATGGATTCTAAGCTTATTGGTAACTAATGTAACTTCCGTTTGAACAATTGTTGATTATTTCTCGATTTAAAGAGGTTTCGATTATAATTTGTAATTTAGATGTCTAGTGGTTTAAAGTTTCATATTCGAGCCAAACTTTAAAGGACCACCTAATATGTATACAACTCATTTAAGGCCCCCCAGGCAAGCCACTGACCTCCAAAGAATCGAAGGGGGGTCCGGTCCTTATTGGATATTTAGTAGTTGGATCCAATTTTTATACCTGCTTCTTTTAACAGAATCATGCATAAGACATGTATACAAGCAATTTTTTTTTTTTTGCTTTATGAACGTAATTTACAAATCTTAGTGACATAGTTTTCGTGCAGGGCGGCCGGGCGCACTAAGGAGAAGCTCTCTGTACCAGAAGTTTATTTGGTCTGAGGGCTCGAACTCGAAACATTTTATTAATATTAAAGAAGTCGTATTCATCGCGCCAATCCTGGATTGTATTATCTCAACCTAATGTCATGCCTAACTCTATTGGTCATAAACTAGTAGTGTACTAGTATGTGATAGAAAAGGGGACCTAGGTCTTGTTGTTTAAGTTACGTAAAAGGCTACTGGTATCTATCACAATAGCAATAACTTGAGAATGATTGGGACTTCAAACAATTTGTTGGTTTGTCAATGTGCAGTGAAGTACTATTGTACTACAGGTCTATTCAGAAGAGGGACTGGTTATTTATTACTCCTATGTGTGATTGCCCAATTTGAACAAGTGCGCTATTGTCTGTACTGTGAAGGAAGTAGATAACAAGCAAATCATAATGTACAAGTTAGAATTACTAAAGGGACACTTAACCACTAGTCCACTATACCCAATCACTTTTTCGATTTTTCATCGTGTGTTTTCATATCCGCATTAATGAGGTGTGAGCGGCTGGCTTTGGAAGGCACGAAAGAGGTAGAGGGCGGCCTAAGAAGTATTTGGGAGAGGTGATCATGCAGGACATGACGAGGCTTCAGATTTTCGTGGACATGGCCCTTGATAGGAAGCTGTGGAGGTCAAGTATTAGGGTTGTAGGTTAGGAGGTAATTTAATCTTTTTTCTACTTCGTACCTTTGTGAGGCTAGTCTGATAGGATTTTTATCTTAGACTGCTAGTGGTTAATGTTGTGTCTTACTACTCTTTCGTTTTTCATAGTGCTGGGTCTATTTATTGACTATCGCTTTTGCTTTTCATCTATTTTCTGGTCTTTATGATGCTGTTATTATTCATATGATATCTGTTGGTGGTACTAATATTGTCTCTTTTTGTCTTCTTGAGCTGAGGGTCTTTCGGAAACAACCTTTCTACTCCCTCGGGGTAGAGATAAGGTCTGTGTATACACTTTCCTCCCTATACCCTACTAGTGGAATTTTACTGGGTCGTTGTTGTTGTTGTTGTATTAAAGCCTCGATTAATTCGGATTTATTTTGCGTAAGGTCCGTTAAAGGAAAGCGCTATCTGATCAAAAAAATTTCTATTTTCAAACATCAAACTGGAGAGCCCTAGTTAAAGGTGAAGGAATCTAAAAAGAATTCCATTTTTCCATTTTCTTATAGCCGAAAACTTGGAGATTGAAAACTCTATCTCTCATGCTCTCAGCGCACGTTAGCTAACGTACGGTGGTGCGTATGCCATGGGAAGGGGGCGAGGTCGAGGACGAGGAAGGCCGAAAAAATGCCGATTCTTACATTTGGAAGTTTAGTAAGCAACAGTGCAAAAGCTGGGAAGGTAATTCAAGCACAAACACAAGAATTGAAGACACCGAAACAACAAGGTATAGTGATGACTGGGAACGATGAAGCATCTTCTTCGATCAACTCTGGGGTGAGCAGGAAATTGACTCTTAGTACGCCATTACTAATTGAGCAAACTGGTAAAACTGTCACTCTTAGGGTTGATGAGAAAATCAATGAAACAGTAACTATGCCTAACCCTAATGATGTGCAAAAGAAAGGGGAAAGGAGCAAAACACAGATAAAATTGAGCCCCCTGTAGCCCCTATTGTGATTGAGAATCTGATTGAGAACCCTAAAGAGATGAACCCTACAAATCACAGAGCTGAACCGCGAGCATGGGCTAATTTATTTCAGCAGAACCGTGCAGCCACTCATGGAATGACACTCAGATACATTCCACCTCAGATTGTGGATGGCCAAACAGTGGTAAAACTAGATCTTCAAGATGTGGAAGAGGCAAAGAAGAAATGGAATGCTGCGTTAATAGCCTACGTCATTGGAGATCACCCTGGATATAAAGCTACGAAGCGTTATATTGCCTAACATTGGCTTGATATTGTTGAACCAGACCTATTCCTCCATGATGAAGGGTATTATGTGATTAAGTTTCAGACATTAGTAGACATGCACAAAGTCTTCTATGCTGGTGCTCACACTATCAGAGGCCCATAATTCTCAAACCGTGGACACCAGAATTTGATTTAAGCACCTCTATGGGTGATTTTCCCTAAACTGCCCATGAGCTGCTGGGGTAGTGAAGCACTAAGTAAAATTGCTAGTGCAATTGGGAAACCTCTATCTGATGATGAGTGCACCACCAAGCAAACAAGAATCTCCTATGCAAGGATGCTGATCGAAGTCAATGTTACAAGAACTTTGCCTACAGAGATTACTGTTTTGGATCCTAGAGGCAGGAAATTTCAGCAAGAATGAATGGATGCCAAGCTATTGTGAATAATGCCAGACCATTGGCCATGTCACAATCAACAAGGCCCGAGAGAGCAGCAGGGAGAGCAACTAAAGAGAAGAAGAGAAGCCAAAAAAATACATATGAATGGAGAACTAAGGGGCATGTGATACCTGAAGCTGGGCACAAAGAAGTTGTGATGAATGAAGGTGGAAACAGAATAAACCAGACCCAAACTGATGCAGTACAAGAGAAAGTACAACCTTGCTTACAAGTGGAGATCCAGGAGCATACTCAGAGACAACCTGAAGTGGATGCAGGGAACACAATAACAAGTACAGTGGACAAAGGCAAAAAGCAAGCTAGCCCATATTTGAGCATGTAGAATTTTCCTATGTTAACACCTACTACTAGCAGGAGTGGCTCCAAAAATATAGCAATTGGTACCAGTGAAAGCTCTTCCCTACCTCATGACAGAGGTGGGGGCACTAAATCCAATCAATGACCTGGTTCGTGTGGAATGTCAGGGGTATCAATAAGTGGTACTAGCGGAAAGAACTCAAGAATTATCTGAAGATCAAAAACATTAAGTTTGCAGGTATCATTGAATCTATAGTGAAAGAGCATAAAGTAAAGAGAGTAAGCTGCCACATTGCCCCTGGCTGGGAGATACTTACTAACTATAATGATGCAGTGAATGGAAGAATTTGGGTGATTTGGGATTCAAACTACTACTCAGCTACTTTACTTAAAGCAGAAGCACAAGTTATACATTGCTCTGTTAAAGGTATTATGGGGGATCAAGAGTGTATATTGTCAGTAGTGTATGGCTTTAACACTATAGAGAGAAGAAATCGATTATGGGAAGGTTTTACAGAGATAGGGAAAAAATCTTCACACCATGGCTAATTGGAGTAGATTTTAAGTCTGTACTACAATTACAAGATAGGATACATGGAAATCCAACCAGCATGGCTGAAATCCAAGACTTCAATAAGTGTGTTCAAGACTTGAGACCTAGTGAATTGGCATGGGAGTGACAGAATATGGAGCAGAACTGATAGAATGTTTGGCAATTATGAGTGGATGATGCAATGGGGGCATGTAGCTACTACATATGATGTGCCTTTCATCTCTGACCATGCTCCTATGAGCCTAGTTTAACTGTTAGCCAAGGAAACATGAAAACTCATTTTAAATTCTTCAATGTCTGGGCTGAGCATGAGAGCTTCTTAAGCAGTGTTCAGAAAGTATGGCAACAAAGAATTCACAGTAAGAACATGCAGAATATTGGTTGAAACTGAAAACACTTAGGCCAGTGCTTAGGAAACTAAATGTTGAAGAGTTCAAATTCATAAGAAAGAAGATTGAGAAAGCCAGAATTGATCTTGATAGGGTTCAAAGGAGCATAACTACTAATTGCACTGATGACACTACAAGAAATCGGGGTTATGGCGACGTTTATTTAGTGACCCTTGCAATAAATGACGGTAAAAGTTTTATTTTTTGTTTTCAGAAAAACGTCGTAAAAATAACGACTGCTAATGAAAAATGTCAACAATTCAATGACATTTGATTTAAGTGTAAGAACATTTGTCGGTATTTAACGACTTTTATATACTAAAAGTGGGGGATTTTACCACTTCCGTAATTAATTTTTAAAAATAAAAAAGAGTAAATTAGTAATATTTCAGGACACTAACTAAAAGGGCAGTAACTAAATAGTAAAATCATCATCCTCTTTGCCGTGTGCCTTCAATTGAATTCCGAATACACAAAACAAAGAGATGCCGTCAATCCTCAACATCTGTTGGTAATCCATCTGACTCATTGCCTCTCTGACACTCATACTTGTCATCCTCTTTTACCCAATCTCACTAAAAGCAAATACCCTAGAAAACCCTCAATCCTATTATTCCCAAACGAAATTAAGAGAAACGATTGAGAGATCTAGTGTCAAATATAGGACAACAAATGTGATCAGAAGTTTTTTTTGTGAACCTTTTGGCTTTAATTGTGATCTGGCCTAATTCTTTAGTTCAAGTTGGTAGTTCTTGTTTGACTGAGTTCATCGAGGCTGACTATTTGAAGACAAGCTTTTATAATATCTTCTTAGGTTCTTTTTCCTGTTTTCCCCTTCATCTGCCACAGCACAATGAGAGATTCGGCCTAATTCTTTAGTTCAAGTTGGTAGTTCTTGTTTGACTGAGTTATTGCTCTTGTTGAAAAGTTTATCCGTCTTTAAAGTGATTTAGGCCTTGTCCTGGATGAAAATTATATTACTAATTCATTTTCCTTTGATTTGTTTTTAATTCCATCTCATTATGCATAAGTTTGCTAATGCTCGGTACCCAGCATAGATACATCAAAGGGGATAGAACTATTTCATAATTTTATCTACTGCGCGTTATTATTTTTTGGAGTGCAAATTGGGTAAAATGAGTGTGTCAACCAACTTACATTTTTGACAAAGTAACAAGTAAGTAGTTAAAAAGTGTTAATTATATTTTGTTTCAGCATTGTTCATCTGCTTTGTGCTCTAATAATCATCTTTGGATATGTGTGATGACAACAGTATATCTTAAATTTTATGGCTTCACTCTCCTTTTCTTTATTATATTTTCAATAAGGTAGAAAAGAACTTTTTGGATAAATTGCTAGTAGCAGACCATGATGGGATCTCACTATCTTGAATTGGTAATTAATATTCACATGAGTGCATTCTATACGAGGACAGAGGAATCTAGGATGAGAATTTGTTACGACTTATTTGAATAACTTCACAAATTACTTTGTAGGTTGTTGCTCATTGTTATTGTCTACTGATTGTTGCTAGTTTCTGGTTAATGTTGATGGTAGTTATAACTGATTTAAAAGAAATGATTGATGGTAGTTGTTCAATGTTGCTGACATTGCTGGTTGTTTGACTTCATATATCTTTCATGATTATACAAGAACGACATGACTTAATGAAGCCATGAATACTAGAGCTTCATTCTTTATTTTGGACTTAAATGAGAAGAGAAACACTAATATATTGGAGCTTATAGCTTGAATGTCTAAAAATATCGGATATGCCTCTGTTTTGCTTTTGGTTTTGCCTTATGTTCTTCACATTTTTACTATTCATTATTTTCAATCCAATCAGTTGGCCTTACAATTCAGGCTTTGGTTGCTAGTGCTGGTGGAGTTGGAATACTAATGGAATTTCTTGACATAGCTCTGTAAAGTTGGTAATGCCATACATGTCCTACGTACTTTGTTTTCTTTTCTTCTTTTTTTCATTTTTTCTTGTTCCATTTTTCATCACTTATTCTCTTGTTACATGGCTTTTAATGTTTGTGATATAGAGAATGAGAGGGATTTTGATTATTGGGAAGCAAAACATGCAAGTCAAAGAAAATTGGGAGGACTAAAGAGAATGAAACTTGCAAATTTTGGCAGAGCTAAAGAGAGAATGGGGAGATGCAGTCTCCCAATTAAACAGAATGAAGCTTTCAGAGTTAAATAGAGAATGAAACAAGAAGTTTGCAAGATTAGGAAGGTGCCGTCTACCATCTATATGCCAAGTGATAGAGTAAAAATCACCCCAAAGCGTATCACAAGATACTCTGCCAGTCTCATTCTACTCATCTACTGTCAAGAATAGAGGCCAGACATTCAACCATATGTTAAAGATTTCATACCAATTGTTTTACTTTTATGAATATTTTCTATGGCTTTGAATTCTATTATTGTACTTTATCATCTTTTACAGTAGGAGTGATGTAAAGATTTGATGTTATGATTATTTTGTAGATTCTCAGCTCTTTCATGAATCCGTGAGTGCTTAAATTATAGTATCTTGAATATCAGGTTATATATATATATATATATATATATATATTTCTATATATGTCGTAAATAAGATCAATTTGATAATTAACCGACATTTCTGTATTTGTCGCAAATGAGATTGAATTTATACCTTTGATTATTCACATTTTGATAAATGTCTGTAAATAAATGTCGCTAGTTATTTGTCGACATTTACATAAATGTCGGAAAATAAACGACATTGAAATTAACGACATTTGAGACAAATGTAAAATAAATGTCGGAAAATGATTTTGTGACATTTATGTGACCTTTTATGACATTTATATAATGTCGTCGTATCCCTACTTTCTTGTAGTGTGAACTACTATTAGAAGAGAAGGGACTGATACAAAACCTGGAGAAGTGGGACTTCATAGAAGGAGCCTTGAAACAAAAAGTGAGAGCAAGATGGATAAAGCTTGGAGATTCTAATACAAAGTACTTTACAACTGTTATGAAAGAAAGGAGTCAGAGAAAGCAAATCCTGGAACTTACTTCTATTACTGGAAACAGGCTAAATGATTCTGAAACCATCAAAGAGGAGATTGTGGCTTACTACAAGTCATTGATGGGGTCTGCTGCACATTCACGTCCTGCAATATATAAATTGGTGATGCAAAAAGGACCAAACCTTACACAGCAGCAAAGAATTTCACTATGTAAAGATGTGACTGAAGAAGAGATCTATGAAGAGTTATGCTCCATCGGAGAAGATAAGGCACCTGGTGTTAATGCGTATAATGCATGTTTTTATAAGAAGGCTTGGCCAGTTATCAAGGATGAGATTATTGATGCTATCCTGGAGTTTACTATTGGGAACCTATACAGAGCTATTAATTGCACTGCTATTACACTGGTTCCTAAGACTAGCAAGACAAAAACTGTTAAGGAATTTCGGCCAATTGCCTGTTGCACTGTGCTATACAAACTGGTTTCCAAGATCCCTGCATCAAGAATGCAAGGAGTCATTAACACAGTTATCACTAAAGCTCAAGCAGGGTTTATACCTGGGAGGAGGATTGCTGATAATATAATTTTAGCACATGAGTTGCTAAAGGTCTATTCTAGAAAGAATATTTCTCCTCGATGTATGATCAAGATTGACTTGCCAAAAGTTTATGACTCTGTGGAATGGCCATATTTAAAGCAAGTTATGGAAGAATTGGAATTTCCTCAGTTATTCATCTCTTGGGTAATAGAGTGCATACAAACAGTCAACTACTCCATCATAGTTAATGGAGAGCCAACAAAACCCTTCAATGCTGCCAAGGGACTAAGGCAAGGTGACCCAATGTCACCCTTCCTGTTTGCTATAGCAATGGAATATCTGAGTAGCAACCTGGCTAGCCTCAAGATGAAAAAAGAGTTCAAATACCAACCTCGATGTGCCAAACTAGGTATTACACACATTAGTTTTGCTGATGATTTGCTGCTATTTGCTAGAGGGGATCTGAAGTCAGTACAAGCAATTCAACAGAACTTCTACCAATTGACTCAAGCTTCTGGACTACAAGCAAATCTAAGTAAGAGTGAAGCCTACTTTGGAGAGGTTACCTCAGACCATAGACAGCAAATACTGCAGTATTTGGGCCTATCTGTTGGTGAATTTCCCTTCAGATACCTTGGTGTACCATTATCTACCAAGAAGCTTAGTGTTCTTCAGTGGCAACCTCTCATTGAAAAAAAGACTGCCAGAATTACTTCTTGGACTGCTAAGATTTTGTCTTATGCTGGAGGACTCAATTAGTTCAGAGTGTTTTATTTGGTATACAAGCTTTCTGGGCACAATTGTTTGCAATACCTACAAAAGTGACAAGCTTATTGAGGGATTGTGCAGGTTCTACATATGGTCGGGGGTTATTGAAATTACAAAGAAAGCATTGGTTGCGTGGGATAAAGTCTGCTTACCCAAAGCTCGAGGTGGCCTTAACCTCACCAACCTGAAGATTTTGAACAAAGCAGCAATAGCAAAGACTTGCTGGGACTTAGCACACAAGCAGGACAAGCTTTGGATTCGATGGATACACACATATTACATCAAAGGTAAGTAAATCATTAACATGTCAATACCACAACAAGCTTGCTGGATGGTGAAGAAAGTAATAGAGGCTAAAGAGATACTGAAGAGCAGACATTTTGAACAACCACACAAAAGAAGTTTGATTAGACAAATCTACCTATATTTACTTGGTGACTGTAGTCGAATGGAAGAGCTTAATGTTCAACAATGCAACAAGACCAAAAGCAAGATTCACAATGTGGCTAATGTTGCATGGAAGGCTGCTGACTTGTGATAAACTAAGCAAATGAGGGATTACTGTAGATACTCAATGTGTGCTTTGCAGAATGCAAGAGGAAATGAGAAAATATCTGTTTATACAGTGTGAATACACAAAGAATATCTGAAACAAGCTATTTCAATGGATACAGACACAGTACTTGGGAGTTCTGGATTGGCAGCAGTTCACACAATGGGCAATCCAATGTTCTAGAGGGAAATCCCAATGGGCACATGTGAACAAAGTTGGGTATGCAGAAGCAGTTCATCAAATATGGATTGAAAGGAACTTTTGAATCTTTGAACAAAAAAATAGAGTGTGGGAGCATATTGCGAAGGAAATAGCCTATGTTTGTAGTGTTCGAGTAACTCCTAGAAACAAGTCTTTTTTGCATAGCTTGTGTTTCTAGGGAGTATAGTATGGCCTTTGTCATGAGATTTGATAGCAAACTGTGTTAGCTTTGCTATGGATTTGTAATTGATTCTTGGTGGTTAATAAAATACGTTAGTTACCAAAAAAAAAAAAAAGTTAAGGAATTTTACCCATCATACCACAACTTTAGTGGTTATTATCTAATCAATTGTCAGTAGCTTTCATTTTCTTCCCTTCTTCCTCTGTTTTCCTGCCCCCACACTGCTTAATACTTCCAACTATAGTTTGTTACAATGTGTCCCACTTCATCGTGGTGCCCTTTTGGAGCCTTCATTACTTATTACATTTCACTGTTCCCTTATATGCTTTTCGGAAGTTTTAGATGATTCAACCTATAAAACCAGTATTAGCGAAGAAATTTGCCTTTTTGCACATTATTATATATACATATACCTAATATGTGTATATTGACAACGAGAAATAATTTTTCATTAACAATGTTGTTTAATCTAATATAGCGATTCATTGTACTCTTTTTTTCAAGATGTCAATCCTGCTATCTTGGGTGAATAAAGTGTATATTTTATAGGTTCGATTTTAGTAATTTTGGCACAAATCTTATATATATGTTAAAAAATTCACTAAATAAGTACAAACAACAAATATCAAATCCAGTAAATCAAATGGGCTGCTCGATTCCATAAAGTTCAAATTTAGAATCCACCTCAACATGCTATACAAACATTACTTTTCGTTAGCTTTTAACTTAAAGGATAGTATAGAAGTTCTTTATCTGTTAGACCGTTTAGTGCAAGATTTCTTGCGTTATCAGCATATTTTCATCAAGGCATATGAAACCACTATGTAATGCATCAGCAAAAAAGAAAAAAAGAATTAAAAAGAAAACAAATGAATCTGTTATTACATACATACAAATAAACTATTACAACACTGGCTATACATGAGAACATATTCTTATATGCCCAATAAATGTACTAGAAGATATGAAAAAATAAGGTAAAATGAAGAAGATTGGCTGTGGAGGAAGTCTTCTCTGATGTAGTTGCTAACTTCAAAATTGTAAAGGAAAAATGACACTGTATAGCGTAAAAATAATAGCCGAAACAACGTATAAAATTTGTATATTTTTTGTATATATATATATATATATATATATATATATATATATATATATATACACACATTCTTTATGTTATATACAAAAATTATATAAAATTTATACACTTTTTCGGCTACCATATATAAATAGTTTCTGGCACGACTAAAAGTGATAATATCCCGATTGTATACTCAATCATAAAGTTGTGAAATAGTACTGCAGGAGGCATTTCACTATATTGCTATTTGGCATTCCTGGACCTGCAAAATCAGAACAAGATGATGTCAGGACAATTAAAGGGCAGCCCGGTATGCGCGGGGTCCGGGAAAGGACCGGACCACAAGGGTCTATTGTGCGCAGCCGTACTCTGCATTTCTGCAAGAGGCTGTTTCCACGGCTTGAACCCGTAACCTCCTTCTCACATGGGATGTCAGGAAAATTATGAAGAGAAAAAACCTTTGAATTTTCATTGCCATATCAATTTAACTAGTCAAACAAAACCAACCTTGAATAAAGAATTTGGTCTTCTTTTACTACTAAAAGCGGATACCAAAAAGGCATTGCAGATCATTTTCAAAATTTGGTAGCTGCTGTACTGCCTGCAATGAAACAGTTCCACTTCAAATACAAAAATAAAGTGGCAAATCATAGAGCTAGAATTTGAAACTAAACACATTTTTGATTACTTAATTATATTTTATCTCAACACGCCCCCTCAAGTGTTGGCCAGATTTTTTTCATAGGCTAAACATGAGAAAAAACTTTTACTTTTGGTGTGGCAATAAGATTTGAACTCTTGTCTGTTCTCGTACCATGTTAAATTATGTAACCACAAAAACATGTTTTAATTACTTAATTATATTATGTCTCAACACAAAGTATAGGGTCGAAGAAATTACAGGAACATGTGATGAATCAAGAAAAGCTTCTGGGAATGACATCAAACAATCTTCTCTTCTTTGTGGTAACATTGTGGCAACACCAATATTACTTCCTTCTTGTTGTTGTTGAAAAAGGTTATTTTGTAAACATGTTGGATTTGCAAAATTGGCCATGTGAGATGGAAACTCCTTTGCAAATAAGTTATCAGTGTTCAAATTAGAAGCAGCAAGTTTCATAGAAAGGAACTCCACTTGTTTCTGAAGAGATTGAACATAATTGATTATTTCATCAAGCATCCCTGCCTTGCCAATTACTTTGTTGCAACCTGGTACTAAATCTTGTAAACATTTCATCTTCTTACTTATTTTCTCTCTTCTAGCCTGCACAATCATTTAAAAAATAGGCAATTCCTATCAAAATCATTTAAAAAATAGCCAATTCCTATCAAAATCAACAAATCATCATGTTTCATTCCAAACTAACCGGTGATGATAAAGTATACTGTCAGTTCATATAAGTTAAAGTATACGACTAATAATGTAAAAAGATGACAATTTTGTAGTACATTCAAACATCTCTATTACAGCATTGCTGTATATAACAACCATTTACTATGAAAGCCAAGTTTCTTTGGAACCAATTTTCATGTTATGTTATAATATATGGTCTATAGAACAACACTTCACCAAAAAAATCTGGAACAAACGAGGCTGTTATGGAAATGTTTGACTGTAATACTTACTCTCTCAGCTAAGCTGTGGCTATCAGTAGCTTGACCACGTCGTGCTCTGACATGAATATAATCAGGTTTTTTAACCTCTGAAATCTTGGAATTCTCCTTTGAATTGTTCCCTGAATTCCCTTTTTCACTTTTCACTGTGATCTCTGACTTCACTTCCCCTGCTTCTCCTTCAAGTTTTCTAGCTTTACAATCATTTTCCTCATAAAACTGCCAAATGAAATAAACAAACAAAAGAGACCTTAACTTTACATCTTCACTCATAAATGTTCAAATTTGAGTGAATTATGCTCAAGCACAAACAACATTTACAACATGGGAGATTGCTAGGTGGTTTCTGTCTCATCAGCCTAAGTTTTGGCAGGCAGAGTTACCAAATAACCGTTTGATGGGAGATAACCATGGGCGGATTTAGAGGGACGGAAGGGAATTCACCCAAATCCCCTTCGCCGAAAAATTACACTGTACTTAGGGAAATCAAAACATTTGTAAGGTCGTGGTTCAGTTCCATTGGCTACCGTCCCTTTTAATTTTTAACTTTTTTTCGAACTTCGTTAGCGGAAATACTGCCTCCGCTGGAAATAACAGGTACTTACTTGGTGGAATAATTAATGTGCGTGCAAACTAGTTCAGACACAACCGTTAATTAAACACAATAAAAAGCAAAATTTACAAACCTCTGTTTTTCTCTTCTTGGTTGAAGTTCTTGTGATCGATGAATTTGAGTGTGTAGATAAAGATTGACGAGCCAATTCCAGAGAATTATCGGTAAAATCAGAGCCTGCCCAATTTTTTTGTTCTCTTCCAAACATATTCAAGCTATGTGAATTCTCGTCCATTTGTGGATCAATCTTGATTGGAAAATTCTGAACTTGACTGCAGTCCATTATATGTTCACTAATTAAACTGTTGAATTGAGCAAGATTTTGATTTGGTAAAGAAGAAAGCTGCTGTTGACACTGGTACAGACGTTCAAAAATAGCTCTTTGCCTTTCAAGAATGCTCATTTCCTCGCAGCCTAACATGTTGGAAATGCTATTTTTGTCAATGTGAACTTTGTATGAGTAGAAATCTTAGTTTGTGGTCCTTAGTTTATGAACGTTGAAAAGATGGAGAGGAGATTTATATAGATTAGAAGCCATTTGGATATGGATAAAGGTAGAGGCTGATCCAGAAATTAGACATGGTGATTTGGATTTCTAAGATTTTTATTTAAGTCATTATACTTTTAAATTATAAGCAGAGGCGGATCCACGATTTAAATATAATGAGTTCAGCTTTTAAGATTTTTAGCATTAAACTCATTATACTGTTAAAATTATGAGTTCAAATCTAACACTTATTAAGATTTTAGTAGATTTTTACATATAAATACATACTTTGTATCGAAAGCTATAGGTAGGGGTGTTCAAACCGAACCGGAAAACCGCAACAAACCGAAAAACCAAACCAAACCGATTAAAAAACCCGACTAGGTTTGGTTTGACTTGGTTTGGTATTGAGTAAAAAAAACCCGAACAAAACCGACATATAAATATATAAATTTTATTTATATTTTTAAGACTTTGTAGTGATTTTTCTTTAGAAAATGTAGAAATATTTGGGATCCTCTCGTGTATTAACCTTGAAAGCGTAAATTAACGAAAAATTATTGTTAGACGACTAAGAAAATAACTATCATGTGTTACTAAAAATTTCTCCCATTAGAATATTTTAATTGATCATATGTTTGTCAATTTTTTCCATATTTACTAAACATATATTCACTTATCAAAGTTTTATCTATAATTTTAATAACATAAGATTGAAATAATATTCATGTAACAAAAAAACCCGAAAAACCCGACAAAACCGAACCAATCCAAACCGATATAATTGGTTTGGTTTGGTTTTGATAGAAACCGAACCAACCCGGTCCATGTACACCCCTAGCTATAGGTTCAATTGAAATAGCTGCTGAAATACGACATCTGTCCTTGATTATAAATACATAATATACTCTTTTTACGTTATTTTAAAAGTTATGGGTTAACATTTTTGTGAGTAAAAAAATTCATGTAAAAAATTATTTACATTAACAATATATAAAACTTAAAATTAATTTATTTTTAAATACAGAATGTCTCATTCTTATTAGAATAGATTATAAAAGAAAGTGACTCACATAAAATAAAACAAAGAAAATAAGATTAACGAAATTTTAGTAAATTATACACATAATTTTGAATTGAGTTTAATGCATTGGCCTCTGGATAAAGGAACTGCGACAAAGAGAGAAGGGAAGTGGGGGCTGCCGGCAGGGAGGTGGCCATCAAATCGAAGCATATCAAGAATGTGCTGATAAGGAAAAAGAATGGTGGGGTTGAACCATTGGACACCAACTCCTCCCTTATACCAAAAGCCATTAAATATTATGAAAAAAAAATTCAGATACAATTGCATATAATTTCAGTATTAGATGGAGTTGTTAGTTAATAAGTTTAGTGTATTTATGTCCACTGTATCTTCAATACATCCTCCCATATTTAAAAAGAATTTTGTCACACAAATGATGTTTTGCATGAAAATCACACTATGCAAGGGCGGAGCTAGAAGTCTTGATACGGATTCAACTGAACTTAATAGCTTTTGTTCAAACAATGTATTGAGAGATTTATTAAATATATACAAATATTAAATTTAGAATCTAGTTATTAACACTTGAATTCGTCGTTTTGAAATTCAGAACTTATAAAGTTAAAAACTTGACAGCCTTTGACACTATGATGATGCTATTTTAAAGAAATTTATGTGGTTACCCTTAAATTGAGACAAACAACCTCTATTTATAGATGAATGGTCCATTCCACAGTATGCTTTAGCAAACTAACTTATTTTAACGTGATAATATCACAATTAATCACTCGATGTTCCTTCTTTCTTTCTTCACTAATTTTCAGTGAACAACATGATCTTGACTTATTATTTGTCAGCTCCCTTTCTAATCCAACTAATGAGGAAATGCCTTTGAATGGTCAGATCATTGTGCAATAGCTCCCAAACTACATAGGATAAGTGAATTGCACTAGGTAAGCCCTGTGCAATGTCCTCTGACTGAGGAGGAGGCTGGTGAGGGCAGTGGAGAAGTTAGAAAATTTAATAAGGGTGTTCAAGAATACCCTTTGCTAGTGGACTATGCAAGGGTGTTCAAAGTCTATTTTTAATCAATAACAAGTAATATTTTACCTTATACATAGTATAATTTTTCGGCGAATCAGTTGACCACCCTTGAGTCAACATAGCTTCGCCCCTGGGTGAGGAGAACCGATCTCACAGGTCTCCCATATGGAAAATCGCTCACCCAACCAATGCAGCCAACCCTTGCGGGCAAATGGGATTTAATTTTCTGATATTATCCACCTTTTTCATTCGCATAATTTACAATTTGGACTACTTCTGTCTCTGCATGGATAACAAGAATGAGACAGAAATGCTTGGCATCCGTATAGCAGGCTGTTAGCATCAGAAAGTAAACAAAAATTGAAAACACTCTAAATTTCACATGCAGTGTTGTGTTTATGTGTGTGAGAGAGACACAGATTTTTCGGAGATTAAAAATAACTACTATTCCCTCAAAGTGTAGCTTTTATACATTAATAATGTCAAAAAAAAATGGACTAGTAATTTTAAAAATATTAATGACTTTCGAAGGGTTCCTCTCGGCGCATTTTAAGCGTGAATGCTAAAATACGCTGATCGAAAATGGGAAGAGGACGACCAAGGAAGAACACGACGAAGATGCAATTGGTGGAATTTGTAGGTCAAGGAAGCAGTAACAATGCCAAAGGGAGAAGTAATGAAGCAAAGGAAACCCTAAGTAAAGACAAAGGGAAAAGTTTGATTCAAGCAGATCTAGAAGGAAGTGAAGCAATCAAGGCAAGATCACCGGTGAATTCGAGCAGCAGCAACAGGAATTCCCCTAATTTGACGCCTACAGCAACAATTGGAATTTTCGGCTCTACGAGTACTGTTCCATTGAACACTGTTCCATTGAGTACTGTTGATGCAGCAGATAAGAAGGAAGTCGTAGAGCAAGTATCAGTAAAAGGACGAGCTAGTACAAGTAGACAAGGAGCTGAAGAGCAGAAAGAGCAGGGGAAAAGTGAGAAAACTGGAAGTAAACTAGAGAAGCCATGGGCGAAGCTTTTTGCAGGAAATAGACTAGCGGAAAGAGGAATGGACCTTATGTTTATCCCTCCAATGATCCAGGATGGGATATAAAAGGCCCAATTGCAGTAGGAAGAGATGGAAGAGGAGAATGAAAAGTGGAAAAAGGCAGTTGTGATATATGTCATTGGAGCGGCACCATCAATTGGGACCATAGAGAGATTCATAGCCTCGAATTGGAATTTTGCTGCGAAACCCAGAATATTCTATCATAATGAGGGCTACTTTGTGGTACTGTTCCATACAATTGAGGACAAGAATGAAGTGCTGTACACAGGACCACACACAATAGGTAACAAACCTATTATTCTTAAATCATGGACTGCAGAGTTTAATTTCTATGATGAAGTGTTGAAAGAAATTCCATTATGGGTGAGTTTTCCAAATTTGCCATTGAATTGCTGGGGGAAGATCACACTAAGTAGGATAGCAAGCACGTTAGGTTGTCCAATCTATGCTGATGAATGTACCTCGAGTGCAGCCAAAATTTCGTATGCTAGGGTGCTTATAGAGATGGACATATCTAAAGAGCTTCCTACGAGTGTTGTGGTTCAGGATCCAATGGGGAAGAGTTTTGAACAGAAAGTTGAGTATGACTGGGTACCAACCTACTGCCAAAAATATTGTACGGTTGGACATGACTGTAGCAATATGAAGGGGTATGGGGAGCCACAAGATAGACCTCAGGGGTATGAACAACAAAAGTACCAAAGACCACCACAAAAGAAAGGTGGTCAGCTACAACATACTAAGATGCAGAAGCCTGTAGTTCAATGGGTAGCAAAGGAGCCAAGTAAACAAAATGAGGGGGAAAAAGGGAATCAAAGCCAACAGGAACATAATGATAAAGGGGAAAAGGATAAAGAAGCATGGCAAAAAGCAAGTGGAAGAGGTTCTCATAGCAAGCAGAGCAATCAACAACAAGTGGTTCGAAAAATTACAAATGGATTCACTCCTTTGAGGGAGGATACAATGCTGGAACAAAACAGTTGGGCAGATAAAGTAGAAGAGCAGGAGAGGATGCAGGAGAATACAGGGCAGGAGCCTCAAAAAATCACATCAGCATGAAGATACTCACATGGAATGTTAGGGGCTTCAACAAAGTGTATAAACAAAAAGAGATGAAGGAGTTTATAAAGGTGAATAAAGTGAATATGATTGCAGTAATAGAGCACAGAATAAAAGATGACTCGATTGAGAAAATCATTACAAAAGTAGCTGCTGGATGGAAATGGTATGCAAATAGCTCAGTGAATGGTAAAAGTAGACTGTGGTTGATGTGGGATCCTAACAAAATAATGTTCTCACAGATGAAAGTGCACCAACAATTCATACATGGAATAGTGAAGAATAGAAGTGACTCTGTCCAGTTTGCTTTTACAGATGTTTATGGACTACACACAATAACTAATAGAAGGGACCTGTGGAACAGCTTGAGAGAGCTGGAAGAACAAATGACAATACCTTGGCTAATCATGGGTGACTTCAATGCAGTTAAGGATATGGAAGATAGAATGAATGGTACTGAAGTACAGGTGAATGAAATAAAGGACTTCCGAGAATTTATGCTGGAATGTCAANTTTCTTCTTTAAATTCTACAACTGTCTAGCTGAGCATGCAGAGTTTGAATCAGTAGTGCAGAATGGATGGAGATATAAGGGCAATAAGATGGAAGGTATAATGCAGAATTTAAAGAAGATAAAACATGGCCTGAAGAACTTAAATAGGCAGGAATATACAAGGATAACAAGAAAGGTTCAACAGAAGAGAGAAGATCTGGCAAATGTGCAAGCTCAAATGAGGCAGAGTAATCAGAGCAGGATATGTTTGAAGCAGAGAAGGAAGCTAGAGAAGAACTGGAAAAATGGAGTATGATAGAGGAAGGGATTTATAAGCAAAAATCAAGGGTACAATGGCTCCAATTAGGGGATTCAAATACAGCATTCTTCTTTGCAAATATGAAGGGAAGAGCTGCTCAAAATCACATCAAAATGATAAAAAATGAGGGAGGAAACTGGATAACTAATGAAGATGGAGTGGAACTAGAAGTCATTGGGTTTTATAAGAGGCTTTTGGGGGAATCAACTAGAAGTCTACCTGCCATTAACATCACTACTATGAAGGGAGGGCCTGTACTTACAAGGAAACACCAGCTTGAACTAATAAAGCAATTTACAAGGGAGGATGTCTATGAAGCTCTGAAGGGGATTGATAACTGAAAAGCACCAGAGGATGATGCGCTCAATGCCTATTTTTTCAAGAAGGCTTGGAAGGTAATTGGGCATGAGATCACAGAAGCTGTATTGGAATTCTTCAAAACCAGTAAAATGCATAAACCACTCAATACCACCCTTGTCACTCTTATCCCAAAAGTTAAAAACCCAGAATTCATCAAACAGTATAGACCCATATCTTGCTGTAATGTTCTGTATAAGATTATATCTAAGATGATTACTAGTAGACTGCAGAAGGTGATGGATTTCCTTGTGGATGAAAGTCAAGCAGCCTTTGTACCAGGGAGAATCTTAAATGACAACATCTTCCTAGGACATGAATTGGTGAAAGGTTATGGTCGGAAAGGTATATCCCCAAGGTGTATGATCAAGATAGATATGCAAAAGGCATATGATTCATTGGAGTGGGTCTTCTTAGAACAAGTACTGGCAGCAATGAACATACCAGACCAATTTATAAAATGGATAATGGCTTGTGTCTACAGTCTCCTATTCAATTGTGATAAATGGTAAGCCAACTACTCCATTTGATTCCAAGCGTGGGGTGAGACAAGGGGATCCCATATCCCCTTACCTGTTTGTTTTAGCTATGGAGTATCTGACAAGACTATTGAAGAACTTGCAGCACACACCAGACTTCAACTTCCATCCGAAATGTGAGAAACTCAATATCCTGCAGCTCAGTTTTGCAGATGATCTTCTACTGTTTTGTAGAGGAGATCTCAAGTCAGCACAGATGTTAAATGAGTGTTTTCAACAGTTTTCCTCAGCATCAGGATTAGTTGCAAACCAAGGAAAAAGTTGCATCTATTTTGGAGGTGTGCCAGAACATGTGCAGCAGCAAATATTGGCAAGCTTGGGATTCTCCCTGGGTGAATTACCCTTCAGGTACTTAGGAGTACCACTGAGTGCTAAAAGACTGTCAGTTAACCAATGTCAACCTTTACTGGACAGAATTCTAGCTAAAGTGCAAAGCTGGACAGCAAGATTTCTATCATATGCAGGTAGACTACAAATGATTAAAAGTGTGTTACTATCTATACAATCATTCTGGACGCAAGTGTTTCCTTTGCCAAAGAAGATCCTAATGAAGATTGAAAGCATTTGCAAAAAGTTCTTATGGACAGGGGAGGTAGAGGGGAGCAAGAAGGTTTTGGTTGCATGGACACAACTTTGTTGGCCAAAAACAGCAGGAGGCTTGAACATTACAGACATAGTCACTTGGAACAAAGCAGCAATCCTGAAGCAGATGTGGAACCTATGCAATAAGAAGGACAGATTATGGATCAAGTGGATGCATATCTATTATATAAAGAAGGAGAAAACATGGAATGTGAAGGCCAATCAAGCAGCATGGACAACTCAAAAGATTCTAAAAGCTGGGAAGTATCTGATAGAAGCAAGAATCAATGTTGAAGAAGTAATGTCTGGGAAGGACTACTCAATAAGAGATGTATATAACAAGATGAGGGGTGAATTCACAAAGGTTAATTGGAGGAGATTAATTTGTAACAATTGTAGTAGTCCAAGATTGATGTTCATTATGTACATAGCTGTCCAAAACAGGTTATACACAAAGGACAGATTAATGAAATGGGGGAGTATCACAAGTGCAGAATGTGTCTTATGTGAAGCAGCTGATGAAAGCCACCACCACCTATTCTTTACATGCAAGTATTCAAGCAGTGTGTGGGAGAAGGTACTGAACTGGGCAGGAATAGGAAGAAGAGCCAGGATATGGTCGGAAGAAATAAAATGGGCCAGTACATATGCAACAGGGAGGGAAGCAGATGCAGCCATCTACAGAATGATCCTAGCTGGAGCTGTATATTATCTATGGCAAGAGAGGAACTGGAGAATTTTCAGAAAGAAGAAAAGGAAAGTTGAAGAATTAGTGAGAATGATCGTTCAAGACATACATTGCAGAGGTTCAAAGTGGTTAAAATTGGAGAAGAAGCTACAAGCACTCAATTTCTATCCGTAGTCTGAGCTTGATGTGTAGATAGTTGTTTAGGGAAGCAGTGATATAGGATGGGGCTGTATGTCCGTCCATATAGAGAGGGTTTTTTGTAAAGATTAGTGCATGTATTGATTTTTTTTCCCAGAAATAAAGATTAAATTTTATCAAAAAAAAATAAAATAATAATGTCAAAAAACAAAATAACACTATAGGTCTTTTAAAAATTAACTGAAATTGCCCATAATAAGTTGATCTACTATTTACCTAAAGAATGAGACAACAACCTGTTACGATAAGTTAAATTACACTGATTGGTGTAAAAACTATATACACTGTCATTCACATAATTATTTATTGATGAAATTAACATATCTTATACATAAGGAAATCTTGGAGCAATGGTAAAGTTGTCTCAGTGTAATCGATAGGTTACGGGTTCCAGCCGTGAAAACAGCCACTAATGCTTGGATTAGGGTATGCTCAGAGGCAGATGTAGCTCACAAGCTACGGGTTCAACTGAACCCATAACTTTAATATGTGGCTTAGTTAGTTATATATGTAAAAGATAGTCAAAAACTCAATAAATATTACATTTTGAACCTAGAATTTTAATGTGCAATGGATTCAGTGCTAAAAACATAAAGATGAACCCATCAAATTAAATTTCTGGATCCATCTCTGGTTATGCTGTCTACATTACACCCTTTTGGTGCGGCCCTCCTCCAGACCCTACATAAATACAAAATACTTTGTGCACCGGGATACCCTTTATACATAAGACTTTAAGCGCACAAGAACTTATTTGCTTATTGAATAGATTGATAGATGCTACAAATATTATCAAAAAGAGAAAAGTATTGAGGTTTGAGATAAGGAGGGATAAGCCAAAAACTGAAACTTCCTTATCAATATCACTGGAAATTGATGATAAACTTTGTTGCCTTCTCTGTAAGTTTCCTATAACAGACTTGAAAAGACAAACTAAAAGGCAGCTACAGACAAACTTAGCCAACATGAGTCGTTTCCCGTTTGTTGACTGAGCCTATTCATAAGTTATAACAAGTGCTACTTCAGTAAAATCTCAAACAGACAACAGCCGTGAGACTAGCTAGCCAAAAAAAAAAAAAAAAAAAAAATTCAAATGAAAAATTACTACTAGTAGTAAGTTTCAGTATTAAAAAGCTCAACCAGAATGATTTAAGTATAAGAATAGCATAGATTATGGTCCATTCTTGATTGGAATTTGGTTTATGAAAAAGGTACAGTAGCTGAGATTTGAGAACATCTTTTGCCCCCCTACTTAATTAATGCCATTACTAGTACTCTTCTTTTGACATAACTCTCAAATTTTCGAATGTGTTCCTCATCATTTTCATTTGCTAATGTTTGACATTCAATATTGACAAGGCAAAGTAAATAATGATGGAAAAGAGAGGGAGATCACATTATTATTATGATAAAGAAAGACGTTATTATGATTAAAAACAAAAAAAAAAAAAGACGGAGAAGAAATTTAGTTTTTTTTTGGGGGGGTGGGGGTTGGGAAAAATAGGGTTACGTTACATTCATGGACGTATAAAAAATAATCACATACAGATATCAGGTCATTTACAAGGTACATTTGTATAATATACATTAAGTAGTAACCTATTTCCGGCTCTTCCTAGGACCCCGTGTATAGCGAAAACTTAGTGCACCGGGCTGCCCTTTTAAGTAGTAACCTTCTCCATCACCTTCATATGGTGTGCCCCTACCCCCAACCTTCTTTTGGTTCATCAAGGCTCACTAGCCTCTTTACTAATGCTAAGAGACCATTTCATGTAATCATTTGGCATTTGAAATATATCGGTCCAACTAATTCAAATTCATTATA